CCTGAGGAACCGGGCCTGAAAGATTGTAGCTGTTAGGGTTAACCGTCTTAGCTTTAACTCCTATACGTGTATGCGCGAACCTGTGCTTGTCCTGTGTAGTTTCGGGGACAGTTTAGACATGGTATGCGATAAACGATGCCCGACAGCTCACGGGGATTTAAATAGTCCTCGATTCGCATGGTCCGGCTGCGCATGGTAGCCTTATGACGGTGTGCAATCCCGACGCCCAGTCCCGCACCAATGCGTTCGCTTGCTTTGGATACATACTTAATGTATGGCAGCGCATGCTATATCGTACGGGTTGGTCCTGGTTGGGTACTCGGAGGGCGAGCACGTAGGCATTGGCTTATGAAAGCCTTCGGATAGCCATTCCGCATAAATTGGTCGCGGAGATATCGGGCCTCACGTGCTTTTTCTTTCAGGTTACTGCAACGAGTCTGGACTCTTATGAAGAGTGTTTTTACGCAGCTTCTTTTGTGAGCCGCCGGATGATTGCTGTGGAAATTGATAAGTTATGTTGTGTTCGTCGCCATCCTGTAGACCACTGTTTCGATTTCGCCGTCGGAAGTTCACATGACAAGTACATTGAGGAAGGGTGGTTGCTGATCCCTGCCTTCTTCTCTCGTGAATTGTATGTCTGAGAAGACGGAGTTGAGAAATTCATGGAAATTTTCCTTTTGACGATAACAAACGTGTCGTCAAATTAACGGCGTCCAAAGATCTGGGGCTGTTGGCTGAAGGCAATCTTATCCAGATCTTATAGGACCAATTCGGCTATTAAACCTGAGATTGTAGAGCCCATCGGAGTTCCTTTCATCTGTTCATCAGTCACTCTGTTAATGGTGAAGTATGTCTTTTGGCAGAATTCGAACAGCCTCATGAGGTGTTCAATTTTGAATGAACCCTGGGTTTCGTCGTACAGCTCCTGCCTAAGCTGTCTCATGCCAAATCCGGTGGAAAAGATGTGAATAATAAGGTCACGTCAAAGGAAACCGTCATTTCGTCCGACTGAATCCTTCGGCCATGGAGGTCTGCCAGCAGTTGGGAGGCTGAACGAACTGAGGCATCAGAGTTGTCTTGGAGGAATTATCG